GTGCTAGCAGCAAGAACAAAAGCATAGACCAGGGAAAGATCAACCTTTCTTCTCCTGATAAGAAATATGGAAGTACGCAGGTATACCGTCTTGTGCTTCGTGGGAGTTAGGACGAAATATATCCGAAAGCATTCGTTGCTGCTCTTCTGGCAAAAAGCGAAAGACCGCTTGGTTCATGCAAAGGAAGAATCAGACTCATTTGTTCCACACTAGCGCAATAACACCAAGATGGCTGCTAGCTGCTACATCATTCAACAAGACATGAAATGGCTCCTGTGTTCTTGCCGAAGCCTCTTCCCATCTTCATCTAGCAAAAAGAAACTGTTCCGTCTCTCCGTATTCACAAGAAAGAAAAGAGCTGAGGCTTTTAAAACCATGAGCAGAAATAACAAAGCTCCTTCAGTTGATACTCCAAAGTACAATAGCGTCGTTTTGAAAGTATACAATGTGAGAGCTCCTTTATGTTTCAGCGAGGTACCGTAGATTTAGAAAGGACTGTTTTCATACAGAATCAAAAGCCTCGACTAGCCGTAAAATTCAGCCACATCGATACAGCAAGAACAACTACTAAACACAATAATACCGCTAGTGGTACTGCTGTAATTACAACTGCAACAAGAACAACAGGTAATAGGAACAATATGTATTCCGCCACCAGCAGCAGTACTAATAATAATAGGAAACATGATAACAAGAATAATAACAATAACACAATAACAATCAAATCCTGGCATGTATCAGGAACGCGGCGACAAGGAGTTTTGGTGACATTTACAATCGCTGCTGGCGTTTTCGACTTGCCAAAGTGCTGCCAGGCTCAATTTCACCCAAAATGTCTAAATCCTGAAATGACGAAACATAGGCAGCGATCAAATTTCACCAAAATTCCTAAACTCCTGGCATCTATGTGGAGCGCAGGGGCAAGGAATTCTGGTGATGTTTGATCCCTGCCGATGTTTTCGCATCCGAGGTTGCTAAAGTGCTGCCAGGCTCGAATTTCCCAAAATTCTTGAGCCTGATTTGGCAGGGATCAAATTTCACCAAAATTCCTACAATCCTGGCAGATTTTGGAAACTTGATCCCTGCCGATGTTTGGCATTTCAGGCTTCGGGAATTTGGGGGTGAGATTGGATCCTTGCCGATGTTTTCGCATTCGAGGTGGGCCCATGATCCACTGCTTACAACAAGCAGGTTCGCGTGGATCATGGGGAGGGGGGGGGTGAGCTTATGTATATGTATGTGTATATATATATGTATTTATATTTATATTTATATTATTATTATTAGTATTATTATTATCATGATTATTGTTGTTATTTTGGTTCGATCCCGGTTCTCGGTTCGCCGACCCTCCCACCTCCCTCCCCCTTCCATGGTATCCCCCCCATCCCCGGCACGCCCAGGTCCAAATATGCCGAATCCCTGTGAGTGTGCGCACTTCTCCCACATGGCGGCTCCAAAACCGTCAACTGTCACGAAGATCTCGCTCCAAACGCACCCGATCCTTGTGACAGTGGACGCGTTCCAGCCAGGACTCTGCCATGAGGGTATTGAAAATGCAACTGTCACCAGGATCGCGTTCCTGTCAGGCCCGCTTCCTGTGGCAGTTGACCCAACAAAGGAACATGATGATGACGATGATGATGATGTTGATGATGTCGATGATGATGATGATGATGTTGATGATGATGATGATCATGATGATGGCTATGAGGATGACGACAGGATGACGATGATGATGATGATGATGACGATTTCGAAACACCCAGGCGCGAACCACACCGGAGCCAAGAATCCCGAACCACACTACACCACAGGGGCGATACTCGGGGGGGAGGGGGGGAGAGGGGCGAGAGGGGTACTAACCATTGCGGGGGCGGGGCGGGGGGGGGCAAGGCCGAACCGGGATATCCGGGATCATATATATATATATATGCATACATACATACACATACATATATATATATATTTATTTATTTATGTATAGATGTAGATATGGAAATAGACATAGATTTGGAGCCAGAGAGAGCACGTGGGCTGAGGTGGGCCGCTGACCTTCAACGTTTGGGACACTGCCGGCCAGGACTGGGGATGCCCCGCCTTCGACTCCCTGGTTCTTAGTAGGGAATGGGTTTAGGGTTTAGGGTTTAGGGTTTGGGGTTTAGGGTTTAGGGTTTAGGGTTCCTGGTTCTTAGTAGGGAATGGGGGAATGGATCCCTATGATAGTCCCTTAAGGTCCTTTATGGTAGTCCCAGTAACCCATCCCCACATTCCCTACTAAGAACCAGTCAGTCGAGCTTCCGGCGGCGATCCCCCTAAGCCGTCAGACCCAAAGCTCAGGAGAAGTTCGGCGGTCTGCGCGATGGCTACTACATTCAGGGCCGGGCACCTGAGGAGCAGAGTGGAGGGGCCAAATAGGGTTTTAGGGTTTAGGGTTTGTAGGGTTTTTAGTGTTTTTAGGGTTTTTAGGGTTTTTAGTTAGGATGACTGTGTGAGAAGAAGCTGTTGCTGCAAGCTCTCGTGCGAGAGAGGTGGATCCCGTGCCAGAGCTTCACTTGAAAGGTCAATGTGCCATCATCATGTTCGACGTGACGTCCCGCATCACATACAAGGCAGCGTGTTGCAATTCCTTCGACTCGTGGCAGCTTCTTGAAGTCTGTCTGTTCAGCACTGTGAGCTTTCTTCAGGGCATGCCATGACTGCATTCTGCTCTCTCCCTCAAGCTTGTGGTAGTGCAGGTCTGGGAGCACAAACATGCACATTCCGCTCCATGCAATGACAGCCCCCATATACCTTAGATCTTATCAGGGTTCCTATTGAAATATTCCTTAATTAAGGGATATTCAACCCAAAACCCTAAACCCTATTAAAATTTAGGAGGAGCGCCGAAGGCCGAGGCCACGCTAAGCACCGGGCGCGGCTAGCGCCGGTAGAGCGTGTCGTAGCCGTACATGGGTCGTTTTCTAGATTAGGGTCCCGTTTAGGGCCCTTTTTATAAGGGTGCCGTATTGTTGTTGGGGGCCTAAGAAGGGACCCTAATTTAGAGAACTACCCAGATACCCCTTTTGCGCGGCCGCAGCTGCAGCTGCAGCCATGGTCTTCAAGTCGGACATGGAGCAGAATGCACTCGTTGCAAGTGACTCCATGTCTCTTGACTCCACTTTAGGGTTTAGGGTTTAGGGCAAGTTTAGGGTTTAGGTGTCAAAAGCTTGCCACTCAAGCTGTCCTTCCTGCAGTAAGCATTCTGGCCACCTAAGTTGGTAGAGAAGCACCACGCGAGTAGTGAACCTTGGTCGCAGACCTCAGAAACGTGGAAGTAGAAAGACAACAACCC